GTAAGTTATTGAATAGTCTGCAACTTGGACAATATGGGTGGCATGTGGGATGAAGTTATGTCTTAGTGTCATACCAGTATTAAGAAAATCAGCTCTGTAACAGTAAGAGGCCCATCTATCTCTTTTGCCTCAGGTCTCCTTAAAGTTTTGCATTTGGGAGACATCTCAAGTTGGATTTTCCAGGAGTGGATGCTGGGAAAGAGATAGAAGTGAAAAAATTTTTACTGGAAACTTAAAAACTGAAAGAAAAGGGATGAAATAGATTCGACACACTTAATACCACCTTCTGACCACACTTCCAACAGCTAGGCAGCAACGCGTTCCTGGAAGAGACATCTGGTAGCCCATGCTGACCAAAAGAGAACACTTCCAACTCCAACTTTAGCTGCTTATGTCAAATCTTCTCTCTCTGGTGCCACTTATCAACTAAAAAAATCTGACTCACCCCTGAGTTTTGTGGACAGGGCAGAATCAGAAACAAGACAAGCTGGAAGATAGGAAGAGAACCACTGTTATGGTTTGTATCTAAATTTCCCCTCAAAACTTAATGCAGCCATGGTAAGGGGAGGCTTTTCAGAGGTGGCTAAATCTAGCTTGTGATTGATTCATGGCCCAATACTGGGATTAAGGGTATGAGTGCCACACCTGCCTAAGGGTGGGTAACCTGTATAGAACATAAGGGACAGAATGAGGCTTGTCCCCTGTCTCTCTCTTCCTTGTTTCTTTGCTACAGTCTCCTACCATGAACATTTCTCTTCTGCCAACCCATCCTGCTTTAGAGCCAGTTGATTATGGACTGAAACTTCTACACACTGTAAGACAAATGAATTTTTCCTTCCTTAACTTGTGGGCATTGAGTATTTTGTCTCAGCAGTGAGAGAAAAGTAACAAAGACAAGCACCATATCTGAGTGAGAAGACGGAGCTCCATTGTTGACCTCGCTCTGGGGTATCTTGCTACCCTTGTTTTACCCTTGTCTAAGTGTATTATTTCCCAAAGGTTCCATCCCCAAAGAGTGTCACCAGTTTGGGCATTAGGTCTTCAATCTATGAGTTTGAAGGAGTGGGGGTCAAAAGTCAGTGCACAGCAATCCATACTATGAAGAATGTCACAGAGATAAAAGCTCTCTCAAGTATCAACAGACACAGGTGACACTGATCTTCTGTTTCTCACCCCCTGACCTGACTCAATTTGTTTCCTTAACATCTTATAGAATAAGTATTTTGGCTTAATCTCCTAAACCAAAATGTACTCCATATTATTTTCATGTGAAATGAGTAAACCCAAGATCAATAAGTATTTATTTTTACTACTAGGATATAAATGTCAAGGATGCATCACATCCTCTTTCTTCCTGAGTTCTCACTCAGGCTATTCAGGACAATATGAGCAAGCAAGGGAGTCCTCACCAGAACCTGACTAGGCAGACACTAGGATCTTGGACTTCAAGCCTGCAAACCTGTGAGACCATTTATTTCTGTTGTTTAGGGATGAAGGAGGAGGAGCAGTGAGAGCAGGAAGAGGCACTTAGCCACAGCCTTACTCACATACCTGTTTTCTGTTCCAGAACCCTAATGTTGACAATAGGGCCCTACTTCTTCTTATAGTAGGTTAAATGCATAGACACTTTGCAGTATGTAGATAAGAGATGCCCTTGCTCAGTACCCAGCACGGTATGATAATACAGGGTAAAACCTGCAGTTCAACACCTCTATCTCTGTGTCAGTGTACAATGAGGATGTCATTCTCCACCATCTGCATAAGGCATTCTGGAAAACGTTGAGATCCTCTTATGATGAAACCAGGGACTGCGCACTGTGCCTCAATAGACCAGCCATTTTTTTGTACATCACATTTGGGAGGTGCTCATGAGTGTTGCTTCCTGGGCTCTGCTCTGCACTGCTTGCCCTCAACCCCACACTGAGGCTCTCAGAAGTTGCTCCAGTGAAGCTTCAGAACAGCCAATCCTTTGTCACTATACTCTTCTCTTTCCATCAACCACCAGCCAATTCTCCTCATATCATACTCAGGCCCATCTATTTTTCTAACCCTTCCTACCTTCCTCTTATGAATAATCCCTCCCTGATGGCCTGGAACATAAAGGGAAGCTTGGTGCATGAATGTTAATGTCTCAGTTGTGACAGATGCACTCTGCTAGTGTAAGAGGTCAACACTGTGGGAAGATGGAAAGTTTCTCTAGTGCCTTGGCAATTCTGCTGTAAATCTAAAATTATTATAAAATTGGACAACTATTTTTTTAAAAATCAGATCTCTCTTTATCCCATATGTAACGGAAGATCCAAACAGTATGATAAACTCTGAAGAGTAATATATACTCCCGGGTTTGTGCTTCTCTGAGGAAAACAGATCCAAGACACTGAGGCAGTATTAGTAATAGAAACAATCAGTTTTATCATGAGAATTTCCCTCAGCTGTACACCTGCCATCTGTATGACCTTGGAAAGAGTGTCCCACTCATAACAACTATCAAATATAATGACACCTGTTTCCCAGCTGACCATGGAGCTTATATGAAATGATGTATGTCAAGTGTTTGGAAGCCCTTTCCTAAGTCACTAGGAAGTATTATTCCTAAGAAGCCTGAGCTTCTTTTTTGATGTGACGGCTGTGCCCATGGAACACACTTAAACACCCTGAGTGTCTCAGTCAATAGAGGATATTAGCAAATGCTTAGCCAAGGGTTCTGGCTGCATTTACTCCCACATTCACCACCACAGAAAGCAAATAGCAGAATAAATTGCCCATCTGCTACCATCAATCACAAATACAATCTTTGCCCACTGTAACGCAAGACAAATACAGTAGTGACAAAATCCATAGCCTGGGAGATGATGGAGTGCTGGTCAATACTTTTCTCTCTACACAGTTCCAGTCCATGGTGTATTATTTAAATGCACAGTAAGTGACTAAAGCAATCAACGTACTACCTACCCTTGCTGTTATTAGGAAAATTGGTTACTTTGAGCCTTGAGCCTAGAGGTCTCTGAATTAAGCCCTTCGGGGTGGACAATTCTAGGATAGAGGGCCAACAGAGGAAGAAGACTAAGAATCTTGTTCATGAACAAAAATCCTTGTGTTTTTACAAGTCCAGAGTTAGAAAGTGCTTTGTCCTTAATGAGTGGAAGGAGTCGCTAGAAAGGAAAGGCAAGAATAAATAACAGTAACTATTCTGAATTTTTCTAAGAACATGCACATACATGAAATAAATTCTCCAGGTTTCAACAAAAACACATTTAAACAAACAAAAAAAAAAAACAAGAAAAAATTAAAAGTGTGTGATTTCATTGTCCCTGAAATAGCCAGTATTAAAATATTGTTCTTATACTTTTAGGCTTTTTCTTATCTATATAGGTACATGCACATACACAAAAATTACTATGTCATCCAACTGTCTTTTCCTTCTCTTTCTCTTGTCTCTCTCTTTATCTGTCTCTCTCTTTCTGTCTTTGTTTCTGTATGTCTGAGTGTGAGAATGGCACAGGGTACATATATATACTCATTAAAATATATTTTATGAGATAGATATATCTTATAAGTGTTGATGTAGGCAAAATTATAAAATATATATAATACTATTGATAATATAAGTGGTCCATTATTTGGGTTGCATGCCATTTTATTATATAAATATACCTTAGTTTACTTACTTTTCCATTGTTGGACATTGAGCTATTTCATTTTTATGTAACTATGAAGAGCACTTCAAAAACAAGGTTGTTCATCAAAGTTTTGTCACATCCTTGATTAGCTCTTCAGTATCAAATCCTGGAAGAGCAATTACTATGTCAAGATTTTTTATACATCCCCAAATTGCCCTTCAGACAGGTTTGCCAATTTGCATCACCACCATCACAGTATGTGTATATTCATATTCTTATATACTGAGAAACACTAGGATTTACCTTTTAAAAAACAAGAATTTGGCAATTAAGTAGGTTAAAATAATACTTCATGATACCACTTTATATCAAGTAATTTTGTGACCATATTAATCTTGGCTCACTCATTATGCTCCATTTGATAGATGAGGAAAAGAAAGCCTGGAGAAAGTAAACTCCTGGTCAACATCATATAACAAGTAAACAGCAAAATAATGTCTGTGGAGTTAAATCATATGCTTCTTGACTTTTAAATCTCCAGAAACAAGAATGATTTTTATTGAAACTAAAATTTGATACTTTGTGGTAGTTACAAGTCACACATTTGAATTTAATGAAAAAATGGCTTTAGTAATGAGTTCAACAAAAAGGTAATAGACGTGTAACTATAAGAATGTCTCTCCTGTTTTAAATTAACAAATCAAGTTCTTTGTTCAGGAAAGTAAGTTGTGGGGGCGTGCATTTGCACATACATGTGTTTCTGTGGAGGGAGGCGTGTGGACCATAGTGCAAGAAAGGCCTTCCTCCTTTCCCCTTTCTCACTGGCAATTCTAGTAATTAAATACAAGCAGTCTTCTATCTCACATAGGGGAGCTACCTGGAAGAAGCCAGTGTCCCTGGGATTGATGATATTTACTTCAGAAATATTTCTTGAACAACTGTTCGTATTACTGGGGACAGAGCTGTGAATTCAGAAGAACAACTCTTTCCTCAGTGTGGTTCTTTCTCCTCAAGCATAACGGGAGGAACAGATACTGATACATCAGGATATGAAGCAACTCTGGATCATCGGTAAAGGATTAATGAGATGGAAGGCTGTTTACATGGAATAGGTGCAAAAAATCTAAATAACTTTGCAGAAGATGTAGGAACAATCCGTTCATATGTTAAAATTAGCTAGATGCATCAGATTTTATGCTTCCCGTGTTGAACTCAGCAAGATTTCCTATGCTTACAAGTACAACTGGCAAATAAACACATGCATCATTTTGCTTAGACTTTCAACTGAGCCAGACTTCGCAGATTTATGCAGCAAGTTGTAGCTTGATTAAAAAATCAGTGAGTCATTAATGATTAGCATTACTGTCTTAAATTCTCCAGGTATATTTCAACATTACAGCACAGTTGTGATCAGCCAGCAACATTTGCAAATCTTCCACAAAGCAAGATATTAAGCTGAATGAATTGTATGGGAACCACAGAAGTCTAAAGAAAAATCTCGTCTCTGAGTTTATATTAGAACCCCGGTGAATCTCTCGTCTCACCAACATTTGGCAACAGAGATGGAGAAGTGTAAGAGACTGGTGGTTGTGAGACTGAGTCAAGTCTCCAGCTTTTCAGATATGAGTGAATAACAAAGTTTTATGTATAATTCTTGTCACATATGAGTAATTTCAGCTATCTCTGCATAGATATGAGAGATGTATCATCAGTCTGGTTTGTAACACTGAAACTCCTCGTGAGTTGTCACAAAGAGTGTCTCTCACCAAAGTTGAACCGATGTAATGCACTTCAGGGTTTTCTGGCAAATGAGACTCATGAGTGTTCAACCAGCTCACATTCCCTCATGTTCTCTCTTTTGCCTTCTCATTCCACTATGGCTCAGTCTCTCTTTCATCCTATCTCTCCTCCTTCCCTGCCTTGTAGGGTTCTTTGAACAGATGCATCACATTAGAGTAGAGTCCAGAGTGTTAACCAGCAGCACGGCAATTTGGAGCTATACAGAAGACTGAAATGGAGTCTCAAAGGAAGGACTCCACCGCAAAATAATCTCAGTGCTCTGTCTTCTTATTAAGGCAGCCACATCTAAGAAAGGGACTTCCTGTATGTGCATGTGTATCCTCAGGAGCCAAGGCAGGCTCTCACAGGTCTTCCCTGTTGCCATGTCGTACCATACTGCACTAGGCCCATCACATACAACTTATTTCTGTCAAAAGACTGAATAACTGAATAAATGTGTTCCACTATTTCACTGCAGCCCTGGAGCCTTGGGAAACTGCCATGGCCTCCATTCTTCACTATGCTCCACATTCACAATAGCTATAGCTGTTCCAGCTGTTTTAATAAGCACCTCAACTTGGATACCAGGTTCCTGGTGGAAGGCACAAAGTATTATAGAAGTGATTCACTTGCTGAAGGGAAGTGCCATCTTCAGAATTTGAAGTCTAATTCGAAAGATTGACATCCTCTTTAAAATGTGAAGCACTCTCCATAATTTCCATCTGGGCTCCACTTTGCTTCCCAGAGTCAGGGATGCCCGGTATATCAGCCTGAAACATTTAAACTCCAAAAGGGGATGTTAGCTCAAAACAGGTCTGGGACAGCTGAGGAGAAAATGCAGAGTGTCAAATGTCTCTGGAAGATGAAAGAAGGTGTCACATTTCTCCAAGAATCATCAGGAAATATGGATACCAGTTGCTGCTTTTACCACTAGCTCTGAAAAGGGCTCATGCATAAGTCTCAGAATCTGAGCAAGTCAAAACCAAAATTTTAAAATTTTAAAATCAAATTTTTGGGTTGAGTGTACATCTTAGTGCTAGAACTTTTACTGTGCTCCATCTCCGCAAAACACACACATGTGAACACACACAATTAAAATTCTTCAAAAAGACAGTATTTTGGATTTTGTTTTTAAAAAACTTTTTCTAACCCAGGGTCTCACTATATAGTTCAGGCTAGCCTTCAATTCACTATGTAGCCCAAATTGGCTTTGAATTTGCTGCAATGTTTCTGCCTCAGCCACCCAAGTGCTGGGATTACAAGTAGGTGCTTTTTATATTTAATAGGCCTCCATTTCTTATCCTTTTACACAGATGAGAAAATATTACAGGCATATTTTAAGATATTGTTGAATTTTTGTGTTTGCTCTATTCTAATTGACATACAAACATTCAGGTATGATCTGAGCCTATAATCTGGGATTTAAAGGACAATTTGTTTGGTGCTGAGAAGATTTATGCTTCTACAGCTTGGATACCACTGTAATTGTTTTATATTTTTTCCCTTTTCTCCTTAGGAAAGTCACCAGTTACATTTTTGCTCATCCTCTGCTTTCTGTATCAACAGCCCTGGTTTCAGCTCAAACATTTCCCTAGTATAGGCTGGGATCTTTGTGAGTGTTTGTCACCTTCCTTCTTTCATCCAACTTCAGAACAGATGAGAACTTTGCCAAGACTATTTCAGGTTCATATCAGTTCTTTCATTGTATATATTTTTTCCCAATTAGGTTAATCAAATTTTATAAAATCTCTTTGTAGAGAGCTCTATCTGTCTTAATTGCTTAATAACTTTCAACTACAAAAGCATTTTCTTCCACTCTTTTATTTGACTTCAATCACCTTTTGCTAAGCATTTTAATTGTACTAATGTAAAAGTAATAAAACTAGCTGGCTACAATATGAAAATGTTTAGAACTTCCTTGTGTATGTATGTATATATTTATACATTTATAATTTCTAAGCTCTTGAAAGAACCTTATCTTTTTCCTCTAAAATCCCTTTAACATCCCCAGCCTAGCTGAGTGAAGATAGCCACAATCCAGGGCTTAGAATAGTCACTTGTAATTACCTTCAGGTGCAAAAGAATCCTTAATGCTTTGAATTCTTTTTCCACTGTATTGAAGTAAATAGAAGTAATTTATTATTGAAAGCACTGCTGCTATGCCTGTTTAGGGGGTGGGAGTTGACATTTGCAATATTGTGTAATGTATAATGAGTCTGAAATGAGTGGTTCGGATCCAGTCAGCATTGCAGGCAGTTTCCCTTGTAAGGCAAAATGATTGCAAATTAAGTTGCATATCTTCATGAAGGCAGGGAATGGCATAAACTGTGGAAATATTGATTTCGATTCTGCTTTTCTTAGAAATTGTTTTGGATGTGTATTCAGAAACAGATTTTCTCTAAGATAGAACCCTGTATTTTCTGCCAGAGTGATATTTGAAAGACATCTTTGGTAAGGATTGTTTTTCAGATGTTAGGGAAATAAAATCAATAGGGGCTAATTTCTACTTGTCACTTTACATGAATGTTGCTTGATGAGGTTGCAGACTAGCCACAAAATTACACTTGGGATCACTGTTAGCTATCTCCTAGTCCTTTCCTCCCTAGCCCAAACTGTTGAAAAATGGCTTTACCATTTGGGGGAGGCCCAAAAAATGAGACTTGCACAGAAGGGACATAACATGAAAGTTATTAGTTGGACAAGAGGATAGAGGAAATAGTCAGGTAAAGGAAATGACACACAGGCAGCCAGCAGAGTACAGAAGGGAAAGATACCATCCGTTAAAGACCAACACTATGGAACTGGAAGGCACAAATGGAAAGATGAAAGAAACTGAGTTTATCTGGAAATCACTCTGGAAAGGGGCCCAGTTTTTGACACAGCTTTACGAAATAATATGGACTCTCTCTGGCCTTAGATTCCGTTCTTATTCTTAGTCTGCCTTAGCTGACTGTAAAAAAACTTTATGCTACATCATTAAGAGTAAATGATTCAATATGGTTGCCTGTGGAGTCTTTTTTGCCTGCTGGCAGAACAGCTGATTTGGTGCAAATTCAAATGTTAGTCATCACTTTATACTTTTTTGTGCTCTACTTTTCTTACAGGGAAACTGAGGAATCAAGTGAGCTTGCAAGCTTTTTCAACGACGATGTCTATACTTTTCAGTATTTGGGACTAAAATCAGAGGTACAGTGAATTGGTAACTGGTGATTAAATTAAACCCCAGATGAACTGGACCAGTATGGTTCTGAGCATGGATGGCCCACTTGAGGACGGTTGCCAGCATAAAAGGAGATATGAAAAAGAAGAACATTAACATTGTGGGTTCTCCTAAGTGTTGTTTGGAGCTGTTGGTTCTCCTGGAGGAGCTTGTCTTGGCTAGTTTCCCCAATATGAATTCAGCCATTATCTTTGGGGGACCTTGTTGCTGAGAATGGCTGAAGTTCACTTTGATAAAGCTCTGGTACTTACTTTAAACATCACTTTCTGGCTGTGGAGGAAAAGATGTTTGCTATTTAATCTCCAGAAGCTTGTCACACTGGCTGCCTGATATGTACTGAATTGTTACAATCGTCAGAGAAGCTGGGGACCTCATTGTCACTGAGAGTGGCTGAGGTTCTCTTTGGGGAGCCTTAGACCTTATTTTGAGCAATGTTTGTATTTTTGTTGTTGTTGTTTTTTGTTTGTTTGTTTGTTTGTTTGTTTTTGGTGCTGGGTATCAAACTCATGACCTCGCGCTTGCCAGGCAGGCGCTTAAGCCACTGAGCTAAATCCCCAGCCCTGAGCAATGTTTCTTGGCACCAATATAGAACCCTCAACCTACTGGCACAAATTCTTCACCCCACTGGCATAAGCATTCTAGTTTCCAGAGCTGACCTTTGGGCATTCCCAGTGCAGATCTGTAAAACAGACTTGAATGAGTCATTGTCGTGGGCTCTAGGCCTCCAGTTGGACTTGTGGGAGGCATTGTCATTGGTTCTAGGTCTTCAGCTGGACTCATGCAAGACATTGCCATGGGCTCCAGGCCCTCTGCTGTATTTTCTAGGTCTCTAGTGTTGTGAACAGATTTCCTGCAGTTTCTTGTATTTAACTCTGGGTAACTATCATAAAATAATATTATAAATTATGTGTCCTGTATGTAATTATTCTCCTTGTAACCCCTGACTACAACAAGGGGCCTCATAAATTCTTGAGAATATACCAGTTATTTACGCCCACAAAAATTGGTATACTGTAACCAAACTTTGAGGTGAGACCTTACCACACTGCTAAATATCACCTCTACACTTAAATTTACTTTCTGTTCTTCTCTGTTGTATGCTCAGACACTCATCACTACTATGGTGGTAATATTGAACTTCCCTTACTCTGGGCTTCAGTTTTAACTGAAGTAAGATACATTATCAGGAGATGCAAGAAAAGGAGAGAAGATAAGATAAGCCCTTTCTTTTCATATTACATGTCTGGCAGTGGCTGACCACAGATGCTAATGAATTGTTCCTCCTCGGTGGCTCAAACATTCACTGTGTTCCAGTTCTTCCCCTTCCATCTTCATCTCTGGAAATAGAACAGCTCCTTGCTATTCTCTGGATGCTTCAAAATACCCAACTAGTTTTCTTTAGCCTTACCCATGACTCCAGATCTTTTCTTTCTTATATTCTATCCACTTGAACTATCTAGGTAATTCTGTTTTTTGCAAGGACCCTGACTGACACAAGCATGCAATCTGAGTCACCAGAAATATGAAATTCTGAAGGTTAATCAGGGAAATCTTCATGGGAGAGGTGGAATTTGAACTTGCCTGTAAGTAACCATGTTTTTCTGAATAATGAGTTAGTTTTCTGTCCTTTGTAATTGAACAATCTGGCTTAAACTCAAAGAATTTTTTTGCTTTATATAACAAAATCCAGAGGATCTGTAGTTGGATACAGGAACTTGAAAAGTCATCAATACTCTGTTTCTTTCTCTTTTAGTTCTTTCTTTCTTTATTGCTATCAGTCTCTGGTGAGTTGTGCCTGATGTGAAATTGACAGCAAGAATCTCCAGGACTACTTTATCTTATCAATTCACAGCCACATAGGAAATTCCTTTACACTCAAGGTAATCTTTTTCATAGGACTGCATTTTTTGTGATTGTTGCTCATATCCCTTATCCCTCCTCTCCTTGCCCAGACCTCCCACTTTGTCCAGAGGCTTAAGCTGCTATTTCCACTTGATGATCAGGGAGCATAGGCCATTTGGATTGAGTATGGCATCTTGCTGGAAAGGAACAGCTTCCAGAAAGAAGGGATATGGAAGATGAAAAAAAGAAATATTGTGGATATGTCAACTTTTCCACATACTAGGACTCAAAATCAGGACAGACCCAACAGAATGGTGCTTTAAAAGCCACTTCTGTAAGCTGGGGATTTAGCTCAGCAGCATAAGCACCTGTCTGGCAAGCGCAAGTTTGTGAGTTTGATCCCTGGTACCAAAAAAAATAAATAAATAAAATAAAAGCTACTTCTATGAAAATAAGATGATCTAGAAACCAAACATGAATGCTTAAATCTAATAGAAGGTTTGCATGAGATGCTGTAACTTGAAAAAGCTCTATGTTGAGCAAATCTTTACCATTGGGACTATCTCTAAAATCCCTTGTTTATAGACCTACTTGAAACAGAAGTCCATGATTTGATTATGAAGGCCAAGAAACTCAAAGTCCCAATGGAAAGTCAAACATTTCTTCCTCTACAGTACATCCTTTCTACCAATTCACCCAGAGGGATATAAGGTTAATAGTACCTTTGTTTCTCATGTCATAGTTTAGCCAGGTATTGTGTCTCAAGCCTGAAATCCCAGCACTTTGGAGACTGAGGCAAGAAGATTCCAAGTTCAAGGCCAGCCAAAGAAACTTAGCAAGGCTTAAAAAATGATAATGAAAAAAAAAAAAAAAGAAAAACTTTCTGTTAGCATTTGATTCATAACCATGGCCAAATCATTGACTTCCAAAGACACATACTATCTCTGCTTAGAACATTTATATTTCTACACCTTCAATTCCTTCATAGTTTTGAAAGCAGTGAACTACCTAAAAAGAATAGAGCATTCTGTCTACATTAATGAAACTGATAGTAGAAGCTTCTGATGAATTTCATCTGGAAAATTTTCAAATGTAAAAAAATGTGTATTTGTTGTCTTGGACGTGTGGGAGAATGGGGCAAGGTGACATACATGTAAGAGGCTTTAGCATATAGCTCAACGGGTAATTTTTCTAGATTACTTTAGGACGCAGAAATGCACTGAGCAAAGTTTATATAAGTACTTGTGCATTACTTTTTTTTTTGAGACCAATACCCACATTTTGGTTTTTCTTAGCCAATTTAGCACTGTTATTTTGCCCAGTGAAATTAGAATCCTGCCTTTGTCAGTTCATTATGCTCTATGATTGCTATAAAGCCTGAATTATAGAGTACACCAAATTTGAACCTAGACTTTGTGACTCTGAATCTTGAGTGACTCCTGTTTAAAATCTAGTAAGTGAGGCAATTTGTGATCAACTCAAACTGTTTTGTTGTAAATGGAGCACAGAGAGTAGATATGAAAAACTTTGATTAACCAAAATATTTACAAATAGGTTCCTGTAGTTTATGAAGACCATGTTTGAAAAAGGAGGAGAAGCTCATTATGATAAGTGTAATAGTTCATTCTGTAGAGTTCTACTATGCTGAATCATGGTCCTCTGTAGTGGTTGATCTTGTTCATCAACTTGATTGGCTTACGAGATGCTTAGATTACTAAGACCCTTCTGGGTATATCAGGGTGAGCCGGGGTGTGAACTTAAGAATTATATATGGTCACTGGTCCCTTTCTTTCTAATCTTTTCTCTCTTCATTCTGCTTCTAGCTTCCATGGGATAAGCAGCTTTGCTCTATCATGACCCTCTGCTTTACAGCCAACTGACTTTGGGTTAAATCTCTGAAACTACGAGCCAAAATAAATCTCTGTTCTCCTAAATTGCAAGTGTCAGGTATTTTGTTCCAGAAATGTGAAAGCTGACAATGCAAGAAAATATTTCTAAGAGAAGTGGAGTTGTTGCTAGGACTACACAAGATAATGTGGTTTGAAGCATTTGGAGCTGGTTTGGGGGAAGGGTTTTAGAAAATTTCAAGATGTCATCCAGGGAAAGCCTAAAATGCTGTAAGTATAGGCTGATTAATGGGTGTGGTCTGGGGCCAAGGACAAGACTGATGATGGGAATGAGGGCAGTAAAGATCAGGGACATGAAGTTTCAGATGGGAATGGGGACTCTATCAGAAATTAGCCTAGATGCCAGGCTTGTTTCATTTTGTCAAAAACTTTGTCTATTTGTACAAGCTCTATTGTGTGAGGATGAGTTTAAAGGTAAAAACTAGAACTGGTGAAAGAAATTTCAAGGCAGCCCAATGTTCAGGCTATGGCATGAGTACTGGAAGCCAGTTTCAATCAGATATATAGTGAGACTTGGGAGCAAAACTAAGAGTAAAAGGATTTAAATGTTTTTTCTGTTTGGCAAAAAAAAGAAATGCTTGTAAAGTTGGAGGTCACAGAAGGAGTGTGTTATGCTTTAGACCTAAAATGTTCCCCCAGATTCTCATGTGTGTCGAAGGTGATGTACTTCTCAGTGAATTCTTCTGTTCGTAAGTTCACAACTGACTGTACTAGTAGGAGGTAGGGACTTATTGGAAATGAGTCACTGGGGGCATGATCCAGAAGGATCTATTCTTGTCCCAATCTCCTCCTTTTTCTCTGTGCTTACTGGTTGGTATGGGTTGAAGACATTTTTTGCCATATGTTTTTATCATGCCATTTCTACTTTGGAGCCAATGAAGATAAACTAAAAACATAATCCAAAATTAGTCTCTCATTCTGTGCAAGCTATAGGTGTCAATATTTTGTCACAGGGGTAGAGGATGGGAAAGCTACTAGAATAGTGTGGTTGATGAAGAGATTAGAGCCATTAAAGTGAAACTAAGTACTTTACACAAGGATACGAAAAAGGATATCTTGGAGGCATCTCAGGAATCAGCAAGACTCCACCCATTATTTGATCAAGAGTAAAGTTATATAAATGTTTCATTTGAGAATGTTCCCACTGGAGAAAAATTGTCTAGAGAATCGATTCCCTCATATTCATTTCACCATGCTTAACAGCTCAGCTAAGTAATTGCTGTAGCCACAGTTCAAGATACCTTGGCTACTGTTTGAGTTTGTGGCAGAGCTTGATATCATCCACTTTGTGCTTCTTTTATCAACATGCAGAACATAAGAGTTGCGGTGTCATAGAGGTTTCCACCCAGAGTATAAAAGAAGGCTGAGAGACCAGGCAAATATGGGTGCCTGGGTTAAAGTCACTTGCCAGAATCCTGTGAGAAGCTGATGCATGAAACTAAATGTGCATGGAAATCCAAGGAAGCTGGAGATGCCTGGAATTTGAAAAATATACTGAGGAATGCCTTGGACAATAGGTGGAGCCATCTCACAAAATGGGCCATGTGACATATCACCAGTAAGGTTCACCACCATGTGCCAAGCATGCCAGATATAAAGTTACAAGTTGCTAATGCACCAGCCTCCAAACTTGCATGTGGTCTTATATGAGCAAAAGGAAATTTGCATATATTACAAGGATCTTGAGATAGGAAAATTACCCTGAATTATTTATGTGGAACACAATGTAATTATCAGAGCCTCACAGGAGTAAAGCAGAAAGGGCAGAGTCAGTGAAGGAGCTATGTGATGTTATGCTGCTTGATGGCTTGGAAGATGGGATGTGGGTGCTCTGTGTTCTTTCCATCGCATTTGGAAAAACATGGCCAAAGAAATCATGGAAGAGGACAAAGCCTTAATGATTTATAATTATTTTTACATGTACATTGGTAATGTTTATTTCTCTTGAGTAAAAAAATGGAAAGTTTGATATCTGTATAGCAATTATTGGGTGGTGACAGCAGCTCAGAATACAATCCATAATTCTCCTGTTTGTATAGATATTTGATTTATTGTGGCATTCATCACATTTATATTGACAATCCTCACTTCTTACCAGATCATTAGCTATGTGAACTGTGTATATTTCTTTAGTGTTGCTCTCCTGGGAAACTTTGCCCCATGCCTTGCCAATACCAAAGTCACTGTAGCTTTCCCCACAGGTAAATCAAAAGTTTTAAAGATACTGATGAATTCTAATTTCCATGTTATGTAATTTAAGCTTTCCATATATAATCACATGTGAGCCATAATTTGAGTTTTGATAGGCACATCCTGTTTTTCTATGATTTTGTTATTTCTAAGAAACACCAGGATGTGAACCTCCATATCTGACAACAAAAGTCTACAATCAAACCTTGAACCATCACTTCCTTACTGAAGAGCCACAATCATGATTTAACTTAGCTGAGCCTCAGTTTCCTCAGCTGTCAAACATAGAGGAGCAAAGGAGTGAATGTTGTAACAGTAGCTTGAAAACTCTATAATAACACAGGATCTAAGTAGACAGTCTCTCTATCCGGGCACGGTGGTGCACACCTGTGATCTCAGCACTTGGGAGGCTGAGGCAGGCAGATTATTGTGGGTCTGAGACCAGCCTGGGCTACAAAGTGAGCTCAAGGCCAACCTGAACTGTATAGACTCTGTGAAGACTCTGTCTCAAAAAGGCAAAAAAAAGGAAAAAAGAAAAGAAAACTCCCTTTAGTGTTGCCTGCAGCGTTAAATGGTAGTAGGCTGATGTAAAGATTGGTCCTCTTTCTCCCTAAGTAAATGTAGACTGATAAACATTCCTGACTCTTTCTCTAGCACTGACAACTCTTACCAGTACTTCAGAGCTGCTGAGAATATCAATTTCCCATATCTCTGAATTGAAGAACAACAAATGTAGAAAACAATATATGAGAGGCACAATCAAGCCCTCTAAGTTTTGCATTTTTACCCCAGTGCATACTAACTATATAATCATGGGAGAATTAGCCCTGTTCTCACTGAAGGTTTCACAACCCATTTGATGCAGATAATATCAACACTAGTGTCATCAGACAATGTACATATGTCTCAGCATCAAGCCTGGCAGAAAAGACAATATGAAAATGGCAGTTTTATGAGCTGATTGAGGAACTCATGCTTCTGAGTTGATTACTGAGGTTTGGTTTTCTTTCTACATCTCTGGCTATTAGATTCTCCATCCACTCTAATCTCAGTTGCTCTGTCGAAATCCAAGATCCAACATCTTTTGGCATTTTCAAGTTCCTTATTTGTGTGAAACTAATTTGAGGATTAAATATTGGGACAGAAAAAAATGTTTCCTTATATTTCTAGTGTGGATGACAAATAGGAGCATCCTTATTTACTTACTGATGCATAAAACCTAATCAAAATATTAAAACTCAACCCTGCAAGAAGTTTACAGAGAGAAGAAATGTAGAGCACTTTGGAAACCTCCGAGAGGGTATAGCTGTTCATTTGTCTGAAGCAGAATTATGCTAACTACCTACAATCACCTACTAGCAAATTGTGCGGAAAGAGACAAACCAGTGAATTCTGACTTCTGATTTCTCTCACTCCTTTGAAAGAAAAAAAAAAAACATGTAGGATGTGTGTTAGTTTGTTTCTCTGTTTGATGCTCACAATTGGACCTCTAATTGTAATGGAAATCTCCTTAAGGGATTTAAAATCCCATAAAATTCTGTGTGTAAAACAAATATTTATTCTTCTGTAAAGGTCTGTAAGAAATGTGTTTATTGTTGAGGTCAGTATCTTTCACCTGGATTTCCCCTTGCCAAAACATTCTTTTAAAGCCTCACATCTGACACTTTGCTGAAGCACTTACAATTTGACATTGTTGCTTCTTTCACCCATGAACAGTAGCTAGCTTGCTGGTTTTATTTTGCACTTTATCTTTTTTTCCCCAATCAATAAAGCTATATAACTACTGTTTAAGATACTACAGAAGCTACTGAGGCCAATAGACAGTATATGCTAATCAATTTTTAATTATGACTTTAATTTTATATGATGCCATTTAATTTTATTAGATATATTAAAGCAAAGCTGTCAGATTATAGGATTTGCAACTCGGGCCAGGGAGAGAAATGTCCCAGGGGCTGCATGAGGATGTATGACATCATTAAGAGGGTCATAAGTGGGTGTACATTACAATGTCCATATTGGGCACATAACTGTCACATATGTCTGAGTATCTGGAATGATTTCCTCACTGGCAGCATCTGAGTTAGTGGAGCTGTTATGCTGAGGCAGCTTCAAGACCACACAGGATAGTAGGCTGCAGGCTGAGTTAGACTTAGCATTGCTACAGCATGTCTCACTGACTTAAGTATGTTATCTTACTTTTCTGAGCATCAAATTCTGCATCAGTTGAGTGAGGATAACATCAGATTACAGTTTGTAAAAAATAAAAAGCAGCAAAGTGTATCCCAGGATTAACCTCTTGCCCATGGGAGAGGGAGAGGAGAGAAAGAGGAAGGGAAGGGAAGAGGGGGGGAAAACAGGAGAGAGGAGAGGAAGAGAGAGGTGAGGGAAAAGAGGTGGAGGACAAAGAGGAAATAAAAGAGAAGAAAGGATCAAAGGGTGTAAGGTTACTGTTGGTCCTTTGCCTCTATCACATCAGATTCTTCCACCAGGTTTGTGACTGTTTTAGCTGTCAATAGCCTGAACGCTGCCTTCAGGTTAGGACAGTTTCACCTTCAAGATTTAAGTCTGAAAATGTTTTTGTGCCACACCTAAAAAACCCAAGCATAACTTATATTCCAAATCAGGACCAAGCTGAAGAGTTAACTTCTGAAACACTATCTTTATGTGACTTCTCTCTCGGGTCCTGCTTCCTATGGGGTTTTCTGGAGTGTACATTCTTAGTAAATTCCTTTCATGTAACTTTTTGATTCAGTAAATGAGGATAAACAGACTTAAGACACAGAAAAAAAGGTAGAGAGATGGATCACTTCAAGGCCAAGAGAAATATGTATTCA